ATTTTCTTTTCCTTTTTAACTAGTTACTTTCTTACTCAGTGCTTCTCATTCGAGTTATAGATTCGATTTAGCTGGGAAGTCCTTTACTTATTACGTGAACGGCTCCAGAAAGCTCTCTATAAAAAAAACTGTCAGAAAACTTTGCCATTTTCCGCACAGCGCGCCGACAAGAAAACAGTAATTTCAAATAAACTTTGGTCATAATGCTTCGCTCTTGACACAGCTCCCCCCACTCCCACCCCCAAAAAAAAATTATTAAATTTAAAACAATTTTAAAAAGCAAAAACTGGGCATTCTAAAGAAAGTCAACGCAAAAATCTAAATCTAGATGGAGCGATATCTTCTCAGTATTAAAAAAAAGAAAGAATATTATTATAATATTGCTAGTAATACACATAAAAATCGCAAAAACATTTGTAACACGCCGGCCACGAGTGACAGAAAGAGGAACGCGACGTCATGAGAGTGCAGGGGATTATCGTGAGCGCGATTTTTACGCGAAATCAGCCTAAGGATTACCAGCTTGGCTCTTTGTGGGAGGAATCATCTACCTTTGTTAAGCAAGATCATTTCGCTGTAATTGTAATCTAATACGGGGTGCCCAATGGGGGATCGGGGCTGGTCGGATCGGTTTTTCTAACCAGATTGAGAGCGCAAAGCGGCTATCGTGGCACAAGCCGATCGCGCCTGACTCTTCGCTTAAAAAACAAACGCATTTGTTTTAAGGAGACGAGTCGGGCGATCGACCCGACCCGACCCGACCGGACCCGATCCGACCCCATCCGCAATGAGCCCCACGTATAAAGCGTATGCCTGGGTGGGGGATAGCCACCCATACTCATTGAAGTAATAAAAGACGCAGGGGACAGAACGTGGGGGGTAAAAGAGGGGGGAAGGTAGAGGTAGGGGGGGGGGCGGAGTGAAAGCGAAGAAGCTTTCAGGTTTTATTTACTATCGATAAAGCGGATTATGGGAAAATTTAATAACGCGAAAGCTGGTGGACTTTTCAACCTTTTGACTGTATACGTCAATTTTGATGATCATCCAGTTCAATAGTTGTCAGTCTGTCCCAGTTTTTGCTGTTAGTGCTAGACTGTTATTGATGAATACACTTTTGTTTGATTGTCCTGTCAATACCCCCCCCCTCTCTCTCTCTCCCTCTCTGTCTGTCTGTCTCT